ATATGTTACATGTGACCCGGACACACAGCATGCATTACCACACCGCAGGGTCCCGCGTGTCACGTGTTGTGGCAGCGTTCGCGCTCTCAGGTGTGACAAGCCGCCATACTGCACCGCCATCAGAAGTTTGGGGGCGCAGCAGATTTTGGGGACGTTTTGCCGCACAGGCAGCTGGGTATTTTCAGCGAGTGACGTGATGAGGGTGACGCACCGCGCCAATGTAACGGGCGCTTCGTCTCGCTGTTTTCACCGTGCGCAGTGCTGAGGAAGCCCCCTTTCATTATGAATGGGCCGGCAAAGTGCCTCAACGCAGGAAAACTGCACCCACGCCAAAACGCACGGATCGTTCCAGTCCCAGGACCAATGAGAAGCCGCTCCCCAAGACCCTGCCCAGGGGCGGACTGATCATTTGGAAACTCGGGCACTGCCCGAGGGCCCAGAGTCAGTAGGGGGCCCCATGAGATGCCCCTGGTACCTTTTTCATAGGCTTTTTTGAGTGTGGGCAAGGACACAGGGGCCCCATGATCCCCTATTGCCCGGGGGGCCCCATTAGTTGTCAGTCCGCCCCTGACCCCGCCCATCAGTAAAATATCAGCGGTGTTGGCGCTCCATGAGGTCACGGCGGGACCCTCTTTTTGGACCTCGCCCAATACGGGGGGTTAGAGGTCACACCAGCCTTCCAGCTTTGGTTGGGGGTCTCTGTAGCCTCTACTGCAGATTTCGCCTGCTTCTGCCCTGTAGATACCGGGATTGGTCAGACCGACGCCCAACTCACGATCGGTGCCGGTGTTGCGGTACAACTCCACGCTCGCGGTGCCGGAAGCCGGAGGACGTTGCAGGGGATGCCTGTTATTGACTCTCCAGCTCTGTGCGGAGGCAGGGAGCCATAAATGGGGATTCTGGGGATTCCCGCCATCAAGAAATGTCAGCAGCCAATGGGAGCGGAGGATGGGAATAAGTGAGCGGCGCGGTGTTGGACGCTGCGATCTGGAGGTGAGCAGAGAGGATGATGGGAGCGTGGCGTGTCTCTGCCCCTCCCCCCCCCCCCAGGATGAGTGATGGCGGCCGGGGGAAGGGCGGATTAGCCGTCTTCAATAGACATCAAGTATTTAAAGCCGGAATTACGGAAATCAATGAGCAGAAGTCGGCCGGGAGGAGGAATCGATCGCAGAGGATCTGTATTTACACATTCTATTGTCTGCGGAGATCCCCGGATCTATACGGGTAATGCAGTGCCGGAACTTCACCGGGACCCTCCGGAACCTTCACTCAGACCCCCCGCCTCCGGAACCCACTGCCGGGTCTCTATCCTTCGGGTGTACCGGCTCCTCCCCTTCAGTCTTACACAGGTGTACCGGCTCCTCCCCTTCAGTCTTACACAGGTGTACCGGCTCCTCCCCTTCAGTCTTGTGCAAGTGTACCGGCTCCTCCCCTTCAGTCTTGCACAGGTGTACCGGCTCCTCCCCTTCAGTCTTGCACAGGTGTACCGGCTCCTCCCCTTCAGTCTTGCACAGGTGTACCGGCTCCTCCCCTCCAGTCTTGCACAGTTGTACCGGCTCCTCCCCTTCAGTCTTGCACAGGTGTACCGGCTCCTCCCCTTCAGTCTTGCACAGGTGTAGCGGCTCCTCCCCTTCAGTCTTGCACAGGTGTACCGGCTCCTCCCCTTCAGTCTTGCACAGGTGTCCCGGCTCCTCCCCTTCAGTCTTGCACAGGTGTCCCGGCTCCTCCCCTGGAATGAATCGGCTTCCTCTGATAACACACTGGGAGCTCCTCACAATGTGCATTAGAAGCAGCTGCAGCCAGTCAGAGAGAGCTCCGCCCCATTTCCTGGCTGGAGGACCTCCGGCATCATCTAGTATTTTGTTCCCCAGCCTGACTATCCCTGGCCCCGCCCCACTCATCAGTTCTTTCATTTATAGTGGGCGTTGCCTAGCCTGTCTAGAAACGCCCACTCCTCCAGACTGATACCCACCCATCGCGGCATTTAGATATTTGCATAACTCCTCCCACTGCTTGCATCAGGACTGAGGGCTCCCGAGAGGAGTAGTGAGGCCGGGTACTGAGATGTTTTCAGGAAGCTATGTACAGCCCCCTGGTGGCCCCTCCCACCAGCCATGATCAGCCTGCATTGCATAGAGAAGCACAGAGACCCAGTGATGACATCACTGGGTATAAAATAAAGTATGTCATGAAAACAGGTTTTATTTAAAAACTTTATTAACATGTTGATGGGGGAACATACGAACAAATGAAACATCAGCTTCGCCATTACACCGCGGAACATCCGTGTTGTTGCAGCCAATCAAATCTGGGAAAATGGCTGCCGTGGGTCCCCGTGTTATCATTCTGTCCTGTCCACATCCGCAGCACACAGCCGTTCTGTGGAGTTCAGACGTAACGCATGTAAAACGCACACGTGTGAGCGGGTCGGGTGTGGCTCTGGGTGCCCATCCCCCACACCGAGCGTTAGATCGATCGCCGGCCGTCACAAGCCCCCGCCATGGGATTCGTCCTCTGCCTGGGACCGGCTCGTCTTCTCCCGGACCGTCGCTGGCAATGTCGGGTCCGTGAAATAGTCTGCAAAGCAAAATAACTGGTCAGCGCTGTCTGTGCTCCGCCCACACCCCGCCCTCTTCTAAAGGCAACCTGTCACTCACTTTACACGTCGGCCAATGAATTCCCGACAACGTACAGCGCCAATCCCACCTACAGTCAGTGACCTGGGATGTCACCAGTCTGCTGCAGGCAGGAGGAGGCATGTCCTCAGTCTCCTCCCCCAGTGATCAGACTGTACATTGTAACTTTGTAGAAGGAGGAGGCGGCGTTTCCTCAGTCTCCTCCCCCAGTGATCAGACTGTACATTGTAACTTTGTAGACAGAGGAGGAGTCATTTCCTCAGTCTCCTCCCCCAGTGATCAGACTGTACATTGTAACTTTGGAGGAGGAGGGGTCATTTCCTCAGTCTCCTCCCCCAGTGATCAGACTGTACATTGTAACTTTGTAGGAGGAGGAGGAGGCATTTCCTCAGTCTCCTCCCCCAGTGATCAGACTGTACATTGTAACTTTGTAGGAGGAGGAGGAGGCATTTCCTCAGTCTCCCCTCCCCAGTGATCAGACTGTGCATTGTAACTTTGTAGGAGGAGGAGGAGGCATTTCCTCAGTCTCCCCCTCCCCCAGTGATCAGATTGTACATTGTAACTTTGTAGGAGGAGGAGGAGGCATTTCCTCAGTCTCCCCTCCCCCAGTAATCAGACTGTACATTGTACCTTTGTAGGAGGAGGCATTTCAGTCTCCCTCCTCCCCTCCTCATGATGGAGAAATGAGGCCAATACGCCATGCTTGGCTCGTACGGGGTTAACGCCCCCTTGTATTGGCACCTATGGGGGGGGGGGGGTGAATGCGCCTGGACTCTGGCACTTGCGGGGTTACTGCCGGCGCCTCTCCGGTACAGCACGGGTTAACGCTGGGTGCTGGGAACGGCGCTCTCTTCTCGTCGCCATGGTAACAGGTGCCTGTGCGTTCCCGTATAACCACATTACATGCCTATAATATGATTTAATAAGGGGCCCTATTGGATCTTCTGGGGCCGTCTGGTTCCTGTCAGCAGCTGGAGTCACCGTTGGACGGGGGAGGGGGGGGTCCGATACGACCCGAGGAAAGACCCCGGGCGCCCGCTGCGGTCAGGACCTCCCTGAAGGGTGATTTACTGACGCCCGGAACACGAAACGTCAGATATTATCCTTCCCGGATCTCCGGGGACAATTATCCAGATGTAATGGCCCCTCCCCCCCCATGCTTCCTGCTCTGTATGGTGTGGCATCACGGTCACCCCCCCCCCAGGTATGATGGGAACATGTGACCGCCATCATTCGTGTTCATTCTAGTCATGTGACCCCCCCCGCCTCTCTATAATTGGCACATTATCTAACATCGTGTTCCAAATATAAAGCCAATCGCGTCACCTTCCCTCCTTCTGCATTCCTCATCTTCTTACAAAATGACTGTCCTTTCAGGGTTTCATCCCTCCAACTGCCATTTTTTTTTTTATGGGATGAGGTCTGACAGCACTGATCTTGCCTTTCCAGTGACCCATCCCACTGGATCGAATATCTCTTTACATTGGAGCGAACGGTCTTATCAATTACCCTGACGAAGGGGGATACCTGACCTCGAAAACGTGTCGGATTCCTCGCCTAATTTCTTGTCACGTGCAATAAAGACTTGAAGGACACTCTCTTCCTTCTTTACAGTCTTCAGACTATTCCCGGGACCCCTCCAAGGTACCCCGGTTGACAGAGCGCTGCCTATACATTTCAGGCCTCATCTGAGAATCTGAGTCCTGAAGTAAGGGGGATGTCCGATCCTGAAACACGTTGGCTTCTCCCCATTTCTTGCCACATGCAGTAAAGACTTGGAGTGTTCTCATCCTTGTTTTCATTCTGCAGACTTCACGGGACCCCCAAGTTACCCCAATGGACAGAGCGCTGCCTATACATTTTAGGCCACATTAAGGAGTCCTGAAAAAAGGGGGGGGTGTCCGACCCTGAAACACGTTGGCTTCTCCCCATTTCTTACCACATGCAGCAAAGACTTGAAGGACGCTCTCTTCCTTCTTTACATTCTTCAGACCTTTCCCGGGACCCCAAGGTACCCAGGTTGACAGACCTCTGCTTATAAAGTTTCAAATTTAGGCCCCATATTTCCCTGACAAAGGGGGGTGTCTGACCCTGAAACGTGTTGGCTTCTCATTTTTCTTCAAATGCAGTAACGACTTCAGGGGAACACTCTTGTCCTTGTTTACATTCTTCAGACCACCAAGGTGCCCCAACTGAAAGAGCGCTGCCTCTACAGTTTTACATTTAGGGTTCCATCTGAGAAGGGGGGGTGTCTGACCCTGAAACACGTTGGCTTCTTCTCCCCATTTCTTGCCACATGCAAGCAAAGACTTGAGGGGTGCTCTCATCCTTCTTTACAGTCTTTAGACTTTCTTGGGAACCCCCAAGGTACCCCAGTTGACAGAGCGCTGCCTCTACATTTTAGGCCTCATCTGAGAATCTGAGTCCTGAAGAAGGGGGGGTGTCTGACCCTGAAACACGTTGGCTTCTTCTCCCCATTTCTTACCACATGCAGCAAAGACTTGAGGGGTGCTCTCTTCCTTGTCTACATTCTTTAGATTATTCTTGGGACCCCCAAGTTACCCCAGTTGACAGAGCGCTGCCTCTACATTTTAGGCCACATCTGAGTCCTGAAAAAGGGGGGGGTGTCCAACCCTGAAACACGTTGGCTTCTTCTCCCCATTTCTTGTCACATGCAGTAAAGACTTGAAGGACGCTCTCATCCTTCTTTACATTCTTCAGACCTTTCCCGGGACCTCCAAGGTACCCAGGTTGATAGAGCTCTGCTTATAAAGTTTCAAATTTAGGCCCCATCTGAACCCTGACAAAGGGGGGTGTCCGACCCTTGAAACACGTTGGCTTCTTCTCCCCATTTCTTGCCACATGCAGCAAAGACTTGAAGGGTGCTCTCTTCCTTGTTTACATTCTTCAGACTATGCCCGGGACCCCCCTAAGGTACCCCAGTTGACAGAGCGCTGCCTATACATTTTAGGCCTCATCTGAGAATCTGAGTCCTGAAGAAGGGGGGGTGTCTGACCCTGAAACACGTTGGCTTCTTCTCCCCATTTCTTGCCACATGCAGTAATGACTTGAAGGATGCTCTCATCCTTCTTTACATTCTTCAGACCTTTCCCGGGACCTCCAAGGTACCCAGGTTGATAGAGCACTGCTTGTAAAGTTTCAAATTTAGGCCCCATCTGAACCCTGACAAAAGGGGGGGGTGTCTGACCCCGAAACGTGTTGGCTTCTCATTTTTCTTCAAATGCAGTAACGACTTCAGGGGCACTCTTGTCCTTGTTTACATTCTTCAGACCACCAACTGAAAAGAGCGCTGCCTATACATTTTCAATTTTAGGCTCCATCTGAACCCTGATAAAGGGGGTGTCTGAAACCGAAACGTGTCGTCTTCTTCTCCTAGGGGCCCGTCTTTCCCTTACCTCCGTCCCTGCGCTCTGCCAACATACTAAATGTTTTACTGGACACCCTGTAAGCTCATAGATGAGATCGCTCCAGCCTGATAAGCTGTGCGCATTTCATTCCACAGCAACCTCAGCAGAGGAGAAGCGGAGCATGCTGGGAACTGCACACCATCCACGTGACACCGGAGTCTGGGATTCATAGCTACGGAGTCATATTAGGAAGTAAATAGATAGAAAAGTGAGGTGTTGATCCCTAGAAGGTCTACGGGATGGGAGAACCAACCTGGGGGCATAAGAAGAGTGGCACCCAATGACCTCCAGGTGGGCCTGGCTGCTATTGAACCCAGCCTGCTACTCCACCAATGGCCAATGGGCACACCACCTGAATTTAGAACCAGGAACATGGGCAATTGCCCAATTTTTCAGGAACAGCAGACCCCCCCCTCCCCCCCTTCATTCAGCCATAATTCCTGTGTTATTAGACAGCAAAGGGCGATCAATATTTTCCCAGCAGCTGCTCCATTCTACGCCATCCTGACTGACGATGACAAAGGACCTGCTACACCAAACACACAGCAGGATCTAGCGGTGAAGGCCAGACGACTCACTGCCGTTCCTTTTCCTGCTTCCTCTTCTACCTTCAAATGTTGAAGCTCAATGGTAGAAAGAGAAAAATGGCCAAAAAGAGGAAAAAACTGGATTACGCCAAGTTAACACCAATAACCCCGTGCTGACTTCCTCTGGATCTCTCTTCTTCTGGGTCACCACTTCCCATTGACACCTCCAGAACTTCTCCCATGCTACTCTCCTATAGACTTCTCTTCTTCCGGGTCATCATTCCCTTGTCACACCCCAAGGACGTCTCTGATGCCTTCCTCCTCCTCTGGATCTCCCATGCTACTCTCCTATAGACTTCTCTTCTTCCGGGTCATCATTCCCTTGTCACACCCCAAGGACGTCTCTGATGCCTTCCTCCGTCTCTGGATCTCTCTTCTTCTGGGTCACACCCTTCCCATTGACACCTCCAGAACTTCTCCCATGCTACTCCTATAGACTCTTCCGGGTCATCATTCCCTTGTCACACCCCAAGGACGTCTCTGATACCTTCCTCCTCCCTGGATGCTACTCTCCTATAGACTTCTCTTCTTCCGCGTTATCATTTCCCTGTCACAACCCAAGGACGTCTCTAATGCCTTCCTCCTCCTCCTCTGGATCTCCCATGCTACTCGCCTGTAGACTTTTCTTCTTCCGGGTCATCATTTCCCGGTCACACCCCAAGGACGTCTCTAATGCCTTCCTCCTCCTCTGGATCTCTCTTCTTCTGGGTCACCACTTCCCATTGACACCTCCAGAACTTCTCCCATGCTACTCTCCTATAGATTTCTCTTCTTCCGGGTCATCATTTCTCTGTCACACCCAAGGACGTCTCTAATGCTTTCCTCCTCCTCTGGATCTCCCATGCTACTCTCCTATATACTTCTCTTCTTCTGGGTCATCATTCCCCTGTCACACCCCAAGGACGTCTCTAATGCCTTCCTCCTCC